TCTGCTGTAGATGTACTTCATTCTGCTGTAGATGTACTTCATTCTGCCGTTTTCAAACTGATTCCCCTTCGTTCTTCCCAGACTTGACTCGAGCTGTCAACGCCCTCCCACGCAACATGACTTCCCAGATGTTCAACGCCATCGCCGCAGTCACAGGCCAAGGCCAGAACCCCAACACCACCCCTGCACAGTGGGGCTCCAGCCAGTACGGCTATGGTGGCAGCACAGGAGGAGGGGGAGGGAGCTCCTCTGCTTATCATGTAAAGATTTTTTTTTTTTTTTACTGTTGTGGAAAGAAAGGTTGTGTATGGACTCCTAACAGACAGATTTAGGATTCATTTTACACTTTAAGAAGTTACAGGTGTGATCATACAAATGTTAATCACATTAATGTTAAAATAAATCCTAAACTTTATCAAGTTACCAGCATCTCACTGTTTTAAGCCATACATTGTCCTGTGCAGGTATTTGCCACACCTCAGCAGCCCATAGCAACACCCTTGATGACACCCAGCTACGCCTTCACTACACCAAGCCAACAGACTCTGGGCACGCCACAGTATCCAGGATCCACCCCGCAGTCTTCACACACACATGCCCTCCCACACATGGCACATCACGGCCCCCACAGCAGTCTTCATGGTCCATCATCCGGAACACCCTCGTCCTCTACCTCCTCCCGAGGACGAACGCCACAACAGCAGCAGCAGCCGCAACCACTGCCACAGCCAAAGTAAGAAAATTGTTTTTTTTTTTACCCTAATATTTCCAGAACATCTGGCCATTTTGTTTGTCATGCAGAACATTTTATTTATTTTTTGTAGCATTATTCATCCACTAGGTGGTGGGCAAGCTCCATTCTGATAATTCATTAAAAATAAAAAGCCAACCCACCCATCTTGACCTTTTCTTTATTCAAATGCTGTCAAATAAAACGCTTTCTCCTCTGCAGGCCGAGCAGCAGTTCCTCCGCCGTAGACTGGGGAAAGATGGCTGAGCAGTGGCTAAAGGAGAAAGAAGCAGAAGGGCGAAAGAAAACCCAGAGGATGACACCGCGACCGTCACCCAGCCCCATGATTGAGAGCACACCCATGTCGCTTGCTGGAGATGCCACACCCCTGCTGGACGAAATGGACCGATAGGACCATGTGGGGGCGGTGTTGCAACACCCCCAGCTCCCTGACTCACATGGATAGCCTTTCACCCTTTTTTTCCTCCTAAACCCCACATCATCTTCCTCAATGGTCTATTCATATATGTGCTTCACTTCTTGAAAATTTAACCCTAAATTTGGTATCAAGACCCATGTCTACTCATTTCTTGTTATTTCATACCAAACGTTTCACATCCTCACCTCCAGCCAATCTGCTTAGACTGCAAAGTATTCTGTATAGTCAAAATAATACTCTTTATGTCAAGCAGAAAAAACTACAGCGAGTTAAAAACAAAAAACTACTTGAAATATCAGTTACATATAGGAAATGGACCTACTCAGACACTGACAGACCAGCTGTCCTATCTTTGTTTTGTGATGCTTTTCAGTTTGATCCTTGAATGATTTTGACAGAGCAGATCACTTCACCTCCCCCATTATGGTTGGTAGGTGGAGTTCTGAAAGCGTTTGCCATAACAACACTTTGTCAAATCGATCCGGAAATTTATTTATTTTTTGTATGAAATCCGTCAGAATGAATAAAAACTTCTGTTTTCTGTTCGAAACCTTGAGACTCTGCTCTTCACGTTTCTCAAACAACTGTATAGATGAAAGATTATGGGTTCCTGCTGATCGTCTCCACCACACGCTGTATTATGATTAGCTGAGTGCGTTTGGCTCCTGTAGCTACTGTAGACTGTGACCATGAACAACATGCCTCTGACGGGGTTCGTTATGACCTCGAGCAGAAATGCAAAACATTGTAGAGAAAGGTAGTACTTGTTTTACAGATTCTAGTAACAAATTCCAACTTGACTAAATACTTAATTGTCAAGCCAACATTATAGAGTATTGGGTGTTTTTAGTTTTTACTCTGAATTTTTATTTTTTTGCATCCATGCACAAGTGTTTGCAATTCAGTGACTCCTTCACATCTTCCGCTGAGTTACGTTTGCTGTTTTGAAGGAAATGATCTCGTTCACTGCTGTAACTGACACAGTACCAGTTTCTTACTGAAACCAGCTAACGATCTTTCACGTCTTTGCAGCAGTAAAATTATGTTTCAGTGGATGAGTTTAAGTTTTTCTAACACTATCAGAAAACCCTATCAGACTTTATGTTCCAAGCTGAACTACACGCATTTATTTCAGTAGAAAAAACATGAACAAATTCCTTTTTGTGATTGTTGTTTGGCATTTTAATGCCTCTCTGCTTCCCTCATGCATTCACTTTAATTTTCGCTGTGCCTCTGTGCCACAGTACAAACAAGCAGCACTGCTATTTATTGGTGTGCTTTAATCAGCAGTGTGTGCAAAGTATCATGGTCCCTCCCATTATATGCGTATTGTTTTAAATAATTATTGTTTTTAAAACGTTTTACTTCTCTTGCCAAGTTAAGATATTGCACCTGTCTCTGAAAGACTGATTGGTTGTCAACAGTAGCTGTTGATGGTGGAGAAATGTCATCTGTAGTGATGCTGATGACCTTTTCTATCTGTGATCTCTTTAATAAAAGTGTTCATAGTAAATGCTTTGGCTTCTGTTGTGCTGACTGGAGAAACTAACACTGGGCATATGGAAATTTATTTTTTTTTTTTATCCATCCATTATCACTTGTTTGAAAATTGGGGTGTGGTGGCAGCAGCATAAGCAGAGAGGCCCAGACATCTCTTTCCACAGCCACCTCTTCTGGGAGGATTCTCAGGCCAACCAAGAGACATAGTCTCTCCAGCGTGTCCTGGGTTTTCACCGGGGTCTCCTCCCAGTCAGACATGCCCTAAGCACCTCCCTAGGGTGGCACCTAGGGAACGTCCTTACCAGCTGCCCAAACCACTTCAATTCACTCGATGTGGAGGAGCAGTGGTTCTACTCTGAGTCACTCCTGGATAACTGAACTTCTCACCCTGTCTCTAAGGGAGAGTCCAGCTACTCTGGAGGAAACTCATTTCAACCATCTGTATCTGCAATATTCTTTCGGTCACTACCCAGAGTTTGTGGTCATAGGTGAGAGTAGTCGTAGACAGGCTGGTAAACAAGAGAGCTTTGCCTTACAGCTCAGTTCCCTCTTCACCACAATGGACCGGTACAGGGTCCGTAATACCTCAGACGCTGCACTAATCTGTCAATCTCATGCTCCATTCTTCCCTCACTCATGAACAAAACACAGAGATACTTGAGCTCCTCCACTTGAGGCAGAACCTCACCCTTGACCTGAAGAGAGCAATCCACCTTTTCCAACTGAGGACAATGGCCTCAGATTTGGAGGTGATGATCCTCGTCGCAGCTGCTTCACACTCGGCTGCAAACTGCTCCATTGAAAGCAGAAGATCCTGGCACGATGATGCCAACAGGACCACATCGTCTGCAAAGAGCAGAGATGAAAAAAGCCAAAAATTGACAGTAGTCACCTTCATATCCTTCATGTTTTTGTGGAGATTTGATTTTGACATTTTCTAAATAATCAAACCACCATACATGGATGAATAAGATCCAGCTGTAAAAACACCTGCACTGATTTGTCCTGGAGGTATTAACAATGTTATTTATTTGAACATAGCAACCTGAAAGTATTGTTTCAATGACATGTTTATTCTGTTGTCATTGTGCTTTTGGGTGATTTTTATTCTATTAAATTTGAATTTTGAGGTTGAAAAACAGCAAAGGTTTTTTTTTTTTTTTTTCTGTCCCCAAGTTGTATAAAACAGAAAATAATGTACAGGCTTACCAATTCATGAACTTTTTGAACCCTGGAGGGAGTCATGTGTTTCTTCCATCCCTGAGAACAATCTCCCCATTTAAAGATCATGTGAGCCCTCGTGTCAGAGGAGGGAAGAGATTTATGAGCACGATCGGAGGTCATTTGAGCCCAGAGACACGTGATGGGAGGCCAAGCAAGGACAACTTTAAAAAGCAGTGGGTTTTATTTTGACATCTCAACCAAAATTGAAAGAAAAGAAAATATTACACCATAACGATGGGCATTTTAATGAAGACGTCAACCAGGTTCCTTCCTCTTTTAATAAATATTTGTAAAATCACAGACATCCGAAAGGCTCGCTTGTTGCAGGACGGTCAGCAGTAAGAAATCCTGAGAAAGTTGAGTTTAAGGCATTCTGCTGACAGGCTAGTTTACACACTCAACACAGAGTTCATTATGTTGAAGAACAGCTTGGATCATGACTAAATCCTTCTGAAGGCCATTATCACCGCCATCATCAGCTGATACCTCTTCTCGATATTCACACAGAGTCCGTGCTGTTTCTGGTGAGTAGTCTGGTCTGCATGTCATCACTTTAGCAAACTGGTCGAGGTTCAGCAACAGTTGGACTTTCTCTTTGGTTTGGCATCTCCTGTGTTGTCTGTGATCCCTGAATGCAACACGGGAACAAAAGTATGCTTTTCGCAGTGTCGAGGAAGGAAACAATCAAAACCCAACAAAGTCTGGAAGCTCACAGAGTCGTGTTCTATTATCATTTTTAACAATTCATTTCCAGCTTTGTTAACATTTAAAAAAGAACATTTTAGTTGTTGAGAACAACCCGCTGACTGCTCCTGCAGGAAGTGACTCACTGATTATGTCTTTGACGTGCCTCGACTCACTCAGCTCCAGCTCAGCCAGAACGTTCGCCTCAAAAGCCAAAGATGCAACGCGTAAGAAGAAGTCCCGGACTCCGTCTCCTGAGACGTCAAACACACAAAGAGCAGGGTTCAGTGAAACAAATTAAATAAATAGTCAAGGGCTCATTAATGTCGGTTTCTGTCCCACCTGACTTTGCGGACACGGCCCAGTACTCTGCTCTGATTTCCTCAGAGAGTCTGATGGCTTCCTGTTCGGTCTGAGCCAACAGTTCAGGAGACTGAGGAGTGAAAAAGAGTTGGGAAGTTGTAACTATGGAGTTTGGGTTATCAGAAAATAACTAGAAAAACTCTTAGGGACAACAAATGAGACAAACGAGACAAACAACCATTCACTCTCTCACTCACACCTAGGGACAATTTAGAGTTACCAATCAGCCTAACATGCATGTTTTTGGTCTGTGGGAGGAAACCGGAGAAAACCCATGCATGCATGGAAAGAACATGCAAACTCCACCCAGAAAGGCTCCCGGGGTTTTCATCATAATGCCTCAATATGTGTAGAAGTAACAAAACATTTGTGTGCATATTGCCCACTACCTTGCATTGCAAAGGTGTTGATGTTGCACAATCTGTTAGTGCTCAGAGGATGTATCTGGGATCCCTCTCAGTTACTACCACAGCAAATTTGAGCTCAGTAGCTGTAAAACTGGCTAGATTATAATAATTTTTAGGTTTGCTAAAGTTAATAGTGTGAATGTTTAGGAAGCATTCACGCTATTGTGATCCATGTGATTCCATGCGTTTTTCAGCATCTTTCTTCTTCAAATAGTTTTTTGCTATTTCAACAAATCATATTTCAAAGCTTTCAGCTCGTTCAGGAGAAGGGTGCTATGACTTTTGGTATCAGTGCAACTTTAGCTTTTTGAAATATTTACAGGTAATATTTTCTGCCACGTTTTTCTCATAGAAAACTCAGCTTCCTTGTGCAAATTTAAACTTGTTTTCAGCTAAAATCAGCTGTTTTGTGCTCCTATCAGATTCTTTCTGCAAGTTTCAACTTTTTCAGCTATTTCAGCTACTATTTAGCTGTTTTATGCTAATTTTAGCTTTTTCAGTTAATTACAATTTTTTTGCACTCATTTCAATTATTTTCAGCCTAATTCAGTAAAAAATGTGCTCCCTCTACTTCCTTCTGGTAATTTAAAGCTTCTTTTTGCTTTTTTTAGCTACTATTCAGCTGTTTTTTTGCTAATTTAAATGTTTGTTTGTTTTTTAAATAATTTCCATTTTTTGTGCTCATTTCCGCTTCTTTCAGTCTAATTGGGCAAACGTGCTATTTCTGCTTTCTTCTACTAATTTAAGCTTGTTCTACATTTTCAGCTAGCTTGTTAGCATTTTTAGCTCATTTCTGTTGTTTTGAGAAAAATAATAGTTTTTTGTGGTAATTTCTGCTCAATTCAGCCTAATTAAATTATTTTATGATAATTACAGCTAGTTATGCTCCTTTAAGCATTTTTCTGGTAGTTTCAGCTTTTTATGCTATTTCAGATACTCAAAGTTTGTTTTCTCAGTCATCCAGGTATATAACAACAAAAAAGGTTGAATCATGTCATCTGGACTTCGTTTTTTTGTTAAAAAGAAACGTTTCGCCCCTCATCCAAGAGGCTTCGTCAGTCTGAGGCCTAGCCATCTGGTATTACCCAGAAGCCACCCTGACTCTTGTGTTCCAAGCCTGCCTCAGATACCCCTGAAGTCTGGCCTTTTCACTAATGGTTTCAAAAACACAAAGTTTGTTTTCTCAGTCATCCAGGTATATAACAACAAAAAAGGTAATACCAGATGGCTAGGCCTCAGACCGACGAAGCCTCTTGGATGAGGGGCGAAACGTTTCTTTTTAACAAAAAAACGAAGTCCAGATGACACGATTCAACCTTTTTTGTTATTTCAGATACTATTTACCTGTTTTTGTGCCAATTTTAGCTTTTCAGCTAATTCCACATTTTTGGAGTTCATTTCAGCTCTTTCTGCTTCTTTCTGGTTGCTTAAGTTTCTCTGTGTCTTTTCAGCTACTTTACAGCTGTTTGTTAAAGCTAATTTCCTAATTTTTGTGCTAATTTCTGCTTATTTAAACCCAATTCAGCAAATATGTGTTCTTTCTGCTTTCGTTTGCTAATTTAGGGCTGTTCTTCCATTTTAGCATGTTTTTTTTTCAGCTAATTTCAGCTGTTTTTCAGCAATAAGCATTCACACTGCATTTTCGCAGGAAATGCAATTTCTCTAGTTAGCTCTTGCGTTGAAGGTTGACTCTAAAAGTCAGTTGTAGATGTTTAATGTTAAGATGATTACTTTCTAAAAGTTTCTTTAATTTAGTCCAGTGCAGATATTATCACCTGCCTTTTATTGTGGCAGACTATTTAAAAAATCCTCCCTAGCTATAATCTGAGTGAGCTGAACAGACCTGGTCGTCACGGCTCATGTTAGTTTGACAAATTACGGCCCAACATTTTAGTCAACACTATTACATTCACAGTTTTACAGAGTCAAAGGTTCAAGTCTTGAAAACAATTTGTGCGAGTTAATTTATTGCACAAACAACAAATCAGTCAACTGAGTACATTGTTCAGGTCTAATATCCATGAACATTTGTTTCTTTATGAAATTCACCCACGCTGAGGTCCTTCTTGGTCCCAACGAGGAAAAGCAAAACACTGGACGGATCATTTTCCTTCATGGCATCCTCCAGCCACAGCCTACACACACACACAGGTATATGACTCAAAATGGATTTATAATGGACTCGAAATTAGAAAATATTGTGTTGTTGTGTACCTGGCGTGTGCTAATGAGCTGACACTACTCAAGTCAAACACCACGATGATGGCTGGAGACAGGTGGATGAGAAATGAAACACCAGAAGATGAAAGAAACTTTTTTTTCACAACACATTATGACGGCTGAGCTAAACTCACCTTGTGCTCCTCTGTAATATGTTGAAGCAATGCACCTGAATCTCTCCTGACCTGCTGTGTCCCACCTGGAACAGATCAAACAATTTAAACTGGCGCATTAAGACTGAGAAGCAACACACTTCAGTTTTCAAGCTGCTTTAAGGCTGCAGTCACCATGACAAGGGAAACATCTGTAATTAGGGTGCCGCTCAACAGTCTGAATTAGATTATCGAATTTTCTAGAGGACAACCTCACAGTTATTCAATTATAAGATCAGATTCAAGAACTTCTGAATAGGAAAAAATAGACGGTTTCAACCCGTCTTTTCCTGTTTCCGATCGGTGAAGGATTTTGGTGCTCAGCATGAAGATGAGTTTAACGTGAGGTGCAGCGTCATACTCACAGCTGTAAACTGAAGGGAACACCAAGCACCTCGAAGCGTTCCATCTCAAAATCCACCCCAATGGTGGCTTTGTAACTTCGATCAAACGCATCCTTACAGAACCTTACAGGCAAGGCAACCAACAAAAACAAACAGAAAAACAAAGTAGCAGAGAGAGAAAAATTACAACTAGTAACATAATTTTACATTTTATAAATAAATATAAGGGCACGGGCTGGGTGCCCATGACCCGGACAGGAAGATGTAGTTAAAGATAATGGATGGATAAAATATTTATAGAGCAAGTTTCCTCTGGCAAACATTTTAATGAAACAATGCATCAAAAAGTTAATAAATGACATGAATATATGAATAAATAAAAACTGAAGAAAATTAAAACTAACATATATTGAAGAAATACATATCACCCGCTGCTTTTCACATCAAACTTGTAAACAAAGATCTCTATTTGTCTATTAGGTATGTGTATGGGATGACTCTCAGCTACTACCACAACAAACTTCAGCTCAGCATCAGTAAAGCGGACTGAGGTATAGCTAATTTGTGTTAGCTAACAGACAGACACCTTATAGCCAACCAGCACAGGTCGTATGGGGTTAAATGTATCTTTGATTCAGAGGTGGATTGTTTTGATTAAATCAAAGTGACCTGAAGCCTCTGTGAGGAAGTGAATGTTTCCTGTCACGATGCACACTTTAATCTTTGCTAAAACACTCTTTTCACTGCTTGGTTTCTAGTTTTCTCTATGTTCATTTGGTTTCTGCCAGCTCTGCTTCCTGTCTGCAGCTTTCTGTCTGTTACACCTTCCACGGTCCCTGATTTTCAAGCCTTCATAGTTTCATGCCTGAACCTCAAGCCTTGTTTTATTGGATTTTCGACCTCACGCCTTGCCTTTTGGATTTTCCGTTTTTGCCTGCTCCTCATCTGGTTCTGTTCTGCCTATCTGATCACGGTAACGACCTCCTCTTCAGTCTATGACCTCGACTCACGGACCACCCTTTTGGATTACCCTTGTACCACTGACTCCCTGTGTTTGACTCCTGCTTTGCCATTTGGACCCTGACTCCAGCTACCAGCAGCCTTATTAATAAAAGCTGTTCTTAATTTTTGCACTCCTGTGTTTGGCTTATTTTGAATCCAAAACCCTGGTTTGTGACAGTTTCCATGTGTTTCTGTGAACTGCACGTGTTACTAAATAAGTTTTAACATAAACCTGAATTTCCCCTGAAGCATTAAAATGTAAAATCCTCACAAAATATTAAAGAACTCAACTCCATTTAAATCAAATTACATTTTATGTAAGGTATCGGGTTTTTTTGTACTATTGAAAAAACACGTTTTCTAAATTAACACAAAACTCAATCATGTGTCAGTGGAAAAAAAACAATCTGAATTATTCATGTAAAAATAATATGTTGAGGATTTCTGAAGTTCAAGGTTTCTGATTGTTTCTCACCTGCTGATCAAACAAGTTTTCCCAACTGAAACGTCTCCAACAACAATGACCTTGGCAACGTTAAAGCTGGAAACACAAAATTAAAATCATAAGTTAATACATCATGCTCAGTCTGTGCACCTTCACATGTTTGTTTCAGTTCCAACTATTAAAAAGAAACTAATGTGAGAGTCCCGACAGCAGCTTGATAAATATCATGCATTTCTAAAGCCAGCTTTTCTTCTGCTATGATGGTTGGCCTTAAAAACTTAAAATACATTGATCACCATACAGGCTTCTTTTTGCATCCATGTTGCTCATGTGAAGTATATTTTGTCATTTGTGACCAACGATGTGCCAACATAAATTTTATGACTGCACAGTACACGCTGTCCAGGGCCATGATCGATTACTCTTTTAAAATTCAATTCATTTCAGTTTACTTATATAGTGCCAGGTCACAACAGGAGTCATCTCAGGGCACTGAACAGAAACATTCATATATATATAAAAATAAGTTAATATCATGTATCTGAGGAGCAGACTGCTTTGAGTTTAACTCCATCTCAGAACTCTCATCTTGAGCGAGCATGAAGGTGACAGTGGAAAGAAAAACTCCCGCATGAGGAACCTTTAGCAAAACCAGGCTCAGGACAAGCGACCATCTGCTTCAAACAGCTGAGTTTGAGAGGAACAGGAAGGAGGAACAGATACACAATGGCAGGTCGAGAATAACATGTTAAGACAGAAATAATATCAAATGAAAACTATTCAGTTTTAACAATTCATTTAAGGAAATGAGGTCAATTTGCCCTCCAGTAGTCTAAGCCTATAGCAGCATAACAAGCCAACCCTAGCTATAGGATTTATCAAGAAGGAAAGTCTTAAGTTCAGTCTTCAAACTGGACAATGTGTCAGCCTCACGGACAGAAACTGGAAGTTGGTTCCACAAGAGAGGAGCCTGATAACTGAAAGATCTTCCTCCCATTCTGCTTTGGAAACTCTAGGAATTGTAAGTAAACCTGCAGTCTCAGAATGAAGTGCTCTGTTAGGAAAATGTGGGACAATAAGATCTGTAATATAAGATGAAGCTAAGCTGTTGAGGGCTTTGTAGGTTAGAAGTAAGATTTTGAATTCTATTCTGGATTTGACTGGGAGCCAGTGGAGAGAAGCTAAAACTGGAGAGATATGATCTTTCCTACTAACTCCAGTTAAAACTCTGACAGCAGCATTTTGTATCAATTGAAGACGTTTTAAAGAAGTATTTGGACACCCAGATAATAAACCATTGCAATAGTCCAGTCTAGACGTGACAAATGCATGAACCAGTTTTTCAGCATCATTTTGAGATAAGATGTTTTTAATTTTAGTGATATTACGCAGGTGGAAGAAGGCAGTTCTAGTAACATTTTAATGTGGGGGATAAAAGACATGTCCTGATCAACAATAACACCAAGATTTTTAACATTAGAGCTGGAGGACAGATTAATGTCATCTAAGGAGGTTGAAAAAGTGAAAAAATTATTCCTAAGATGCTCAGGTCCAAAAACAAAAACCTCAGTCTTGTTTAAATCAAGGAATCTTGGTGGAGCTGACCCAAAAATGATGTAAAACAAACTCATACAGTGGTCTTAGAGCTGGGTTATACTGTTCTTATGTTCATCTTCCGGCCTAGGCCTCCCTTGCAAAAGAGATCTGTGATCTCAATAGGATTTCCCTGGTTAAATAAAGATTAATAATAATTATGATGGACAACAGCATTAAAATCATACCAGATGTAATCTTGCTGTAGAGCAATAACTAGACACAGCCTAAGATATGCTCGAAGAACTCTAATTTGAGTAAATTATGAGTTAGCTGTAGGAGTTTATGAAAAAAAAACTATTGTCTTCTGGAAACAGTTGTGACCAGCTTTTTGAGAAAAAAAATCACATTTTATAACAAACATATTAACACTTGTTGAATCAGTCTTCACCAGACTGTGTTCAGAAAGTGCATTTGGAAGATGGAAGTCAGCTGACTTTCTGCAGCGTGACTTCAACGCAACTAACAAGACAAATTCATTTATAATTTCATTTGGACTAATAAGACTAATGGACTAATTTCATTTGTCCATTGTTGTCATCATTCTTTGTTGAAATCAGGTCTCTCTTGTAAATGAGTCCTCGGGGTTCAATGGGATTTACCTGTCTAAATTAAGGTTGACTGAATTTAGCTTCCACACTCGTGTGTGCAGCTAGAGCCAGACAGGAGGCGACGTGCTGCCTTTATAAAATTAATCTGATCTCACCTGTCTGTCTTCTGAACCTGACACGCTGCCTTCACCTGTGGGTGGAAGCCTTCTTTGGTGTGCAGAGCTGCATTCGGGCTAAAACACTGCAAATAAATAAAAATAATTCAATTAGAAACCAAGAAGTGTGCTCAGTGCTCGGTAAAAGTAAAAGGTTTCACCAAATGTCTGACTGAAAATCAGAAGCATACAAGCTACATCTAAGGCATATGTGTCAAATTCAACGCCCGGGGGCCAACTGTGGCCCTTGTTCACATCTTATCTTGCCCCCAAGATGATATCTTAAATGTAAAATACTTTTTCCACTTGAAAATTTTCAGTAATCTTTGATTATGATGTCAAAAGTGCAACAGAGAACGTCAAATGAGACCAATCAAACTTTTGTTGAGGAACCTGCAACCATGAAAAGATGTTGGGTATCTAACTTGAGTTAATGTAGATTCTGAAACCAGCACTTAGTTTGAAAAAATTTAATTTTGGCCCCCTTTTGTAAGTGAGTTTGACACCCCTGATCTAAGGGGAAATCCTTCTCAGCTTAGTTGTCATCAAATTCCAGCATGAACATGTGGGTGCACGTTTACAGCTTGGGCTGGGTTTGAAACGCTGAAAACTTGTGAATATCTGTTTAGACTTAGATGCTTAAAGATGACTAAACATAATGAAAGACTTACAAACTACAGTTTAACAAAAGGGCAAAAGCGTTATTCCAGGCTAATAATTTATTCAATAAAGGTAGTAGAACTCAGGCGTGAGCAGCCAGAGTATATGAGATGCCCCCTTTGTCTAATAACTGCAGAGGATGTCTCTGGTTAACTAACAACCCTGCCCATTAGACAGGAGAAATTAAGTTCATTTCAGTACGACTTGGCCTTTCCAAAGTATTAACAAATTCAGCTCTTCTTTCTGTAAGATGACTTGTGCCCAAAGCAGTTGCTTTGCTGCATGACCAATGTTTTTTCCTGATATTTAGCTAACAGAAATACCTATTTTTGCTGGCTGTATTTGTTCGTTATATTCATCAGTCTGTGAATGACAATCTGAATATGGGCCAAGGTCCATACCATGAAACAAACACCTCCATGTATCCTCAAATAAGTTTGTTTTTTTAACAATATATTGCTGGGATTTTCTTCCCCTAAACAGAATGCTATAATTAATGCCATTAAGCTTAAATTTGATTATATGTTAAGTGGAAATTTTGTCCTTCCTTCTTTATGATCACAATAAAAAATTTAAAGTTTGGCTACTTTAAAAATAATAATAATAATAATAATTTAAATGTATTCAAATGAACAACATAAATGTTGACACAGATGGTTTAGTTTTCTTTGGAAAACTTAAGATTCATCTGGAGTTTAATGGCTGCAAAGCCTTTAGTGGTGTTCAATCCTCGTCCTCGGGGCTAATATTCTGCATGTTTGAGGTGTTTCCCTGCTCTTCAGCAGAACACTGTTAATCATTCATCAGGCAAAAGCAGAGGAAGCTCTAAAATAAGGATGACAGTAGTTCTTAAGGACCTTACACAATCCAAAAAAACTAATCCAAACTCAACATCTGCAAATAAGTTGTGCATCCAGCTAGTTTTTCATTACTTTTAGTATTTTTCCCTCAAATTTGATGTTATTTCAGGGTTATGGTTATACAGAATCTGAACAAGTGTACTGGTAAATTTAATGTAAAGTGCACACTGAAGACTGTTAGGGTGCGTGAACCTTTGGGAGGTGAGTGATGACCCGGTCCTTCTTCACTGGAGGCAACATGCTGCTGCAGATCTTCTGTATCTCACATTCAACACAAACATCCACTAACGAGGCACACAAGTAAAATCTTCTAAAAGTCTGAAACAGACCAAACGCACAGTAGTCTACATGTTAGACTAGATGGAAACAATAATTAATACATGTTGATCTTCTGTGTCATAAACTGGGTTTGATTTAAACACAAGCATGACTAACACTTTACAAAATATTACCTGATGGAGATGAAAGAAGGAAGTTCTGCAAGAGTGTGATGAAATATCCAAAGTTGAACGACAGAATAAAACAAAACGACACCTCTCAGCCACAAAGCGTGCCTCAGAAGTCTTTTCTGAAGTGAACACAAGCTGGATTTTATTTGCTCAAGTTGATGGACTCAGTGAGAACAAGTGAGCAGCCAACAGCGCCCCCTCGCGGCTCAGACCTTCTTTTCACTCTAATTTTTCATGTGTCTGGGCAAACACAAGCTCCCTGAGCACACTGAGGACCACTGAGAGCAACATCAGATGTGCACGCTGTGGCCACACACACCAGTGTCACCAGTGTCACACCTGTTCAAAACCTGGGATCACAGCAAGTTACATGACTCTTTATTGTAATTCACATTATAATAATAGCAACAACAAAAAAAGTATCATAAAATACAGTATAAAAAAATTAAAGTACACACTAAAATATGCGCTAAACACTAATAATGTAAAATAATGTGGTGCATTAAACAGCAGCCCGAACATGAGTCTGTGGTGAGCAGATGGGTATGAATACAGCAGCATAAAGGCAAGAGATCACCAGCATGAATAATCAGAGATCAGCTGCACAGATAAGTCACGTCACCAATTAAAGAAAGAGGCATTACAGTGATTTTCCTTGTTAGGGATTTAACAGCTTCAGGGTAAGCTGTTCCTTAGTCTAGTGGTTCTACACTTAATGCTACACAACCTCCACTGAAGATCCTCCTGTGTGTGTGTGTGGGGGGGGGGGGGGGGTGCTTCGTCTGAAGTCCACAACAATCTCCTTCGTCTTCTTCACATTGTTGTGAAAGTTGTCCTTCCTGCACCAGCTTTCCAGGTGTTTCACCTCCTGCTTGTAGCTGGACTCATCATTTTTGATGCATCCAACCACCGCTGTATCATCTTCAAACTTTACAATATGACAGCCTGGATGGGTCGGTGCACAATCATATGTAAGCAGAGTGAACAGGAGGGGGCTCAACACACAGCGCTGAGGGGAGCCAGTGCTGAGGGTTATGGTGGAGGAGGAGAAGTTGTGGATCTTCACAGACTGCGGGCTATTGGTTAAGAAGTCCAGGACCCAGTTGCATAGAGAGGGGCTTAGTCCTATGTGAGTAGTTTGTCCATCAGGGTTTGGGGAATCATGGTGTTGAAGGCAGATGTGAAGTCCACAAAAAGCATACGGACGTAGGAATCCTGTTCCAGGTGGGTGAGAGCAGTGTGAACCACACTGATGGTCTACAATGATGGCGTCTTCTGTCCTCTAAAAGAATCAAATTACAGCAGCAATTTCCATTAGTTTACTTTTAATAGAAGTAATTTGGCCCACTTAAAATGGAAGAAAAAAAAACCTCTTGCTGTTCATGAGATGTGTAGTATGTTCCTGAGACCTGCTTTGGCCATGGGAAGAGTCCTGCTTTGGTCTGGGTGAGGGTCCAGTTGTGGCCTGGGTGAGGGTCCTGCTCTGGAAGAAATGTGACACATACACCTTTCAGACATAACATTTTGTTCACATTAAAACATTCACATTTTGCACAATGACATGTGCTGTAGGCCTCCACCCGTTTAATGATGGACGGTTTCTTTTCACAAAGATGGCCTCCTTTACTCCTCTCTCAAACCATCGTTCCTCTCTATCAAGGATGTGAAATCGTCCATCGTTAAACAGGGACGGAGGCCTCCGTGTTCAACTGTCCCCCTCTTACAATGCTGTTATTGCTAGTATCACTCAGCCCCCTGTGAATAGCAAGCAACCATCAGTGTGCTAATGATCCATCGTTAGGCTGATGGTCCTTCTTGACAATGTGAGCAGCTGGTTTTGGCTGTCAGCAGCAAACTGGTTGATCCACTGCGAGAGGGTGCTATTTATAAGACTGAGCTGAATACAGCACCTCAGACAGAGGAAGTCTTTTGGATGAAAGACAAAACGTTTCTACAATTTTTTTGTTTTGTTTTGTTTGTTTTGAAATTCCAGAGGACCAAATTGAACTTTTTTAGATTTTTCTACCTGGATTATTGAGCATGCATCAGGATAATTATTTATACAAGTTAGTCTCATTGAGCCTCAAGGACTCGTTTACAAGAGAGACCTGTTTTAAACAAAGAACACAGATGAGCTACAGACAAGAATAGCCAATCATATAAAAAGCACATAAAATGAAAAGTAAATGGAATAAATTATTTTGTTTTTAAACTAAACAAAAACAGCTATATTATAAAGCAATTCAAAATACTAAAAACAGGAACATGCTTTTGTTGGTTTTTGCCATGAACTTAGCAGTTGTCCTTTAGAGGTCAAGGTTGAGAGCTTCAGATCTTCTTGCAAGGTGTCCCAGTTTACAGGAGCGGAGTAGGAGAAGGCCCTTTTGCCTCATTCGGTCCGCACCGAGGGTACACTGCATGTAATAATGTCCTGAGAGTGCACACCATAGCTGCACTCACAAAGTGACATGTAGGAGGAGATGTATGAAAGCAACAGCCCAAGTAATTTAAAGATGAAAATGTACCAATGTGAGAGTCTGCGTGAAGTTAATGATGGTCTGCACTTATATAGTGCCTTTCTATCAAGATACTCAAAGCACTTTACATTACAATCTGTGCCCTCATTTACCCATTCATACAGCACTCTAATGGATCTATAGAAAGTGCATTAGATCACATTCATACAACAATGGGACACACATTGGAGACAATGAGGAACTCAGTGTCTTGCCCAGGCCAGGGACACTTCAGCATGTGGCTGCTGATGGAATCAAACCTTCAACTCTCAAATTGGAGGACAACAGCTCTAACCACTCATTCAACCTTTATTGATACAAATTTAGAATGAGCAGAAGTCATTATGTCCTGATGCATGTTCAATAATCCAGGTAGAAAAATCTAAAAAAGTGGTCCAGACTTAACTTTTTTAGAGAAGTCATTATGGTTTTATGATTTATATTGGGAGGTTTCTTGAAGGAATCTTTGTTATAATCAGAGTAAATCATTAAAAAAAAATGTTATTGGTCTATTTAATTTACAGTTTATGATTAATTTTATTTTAAGTGCTGCATATACAGGTCCTTCTCAAAAAAATAGCATATTGTGATAAAGGTCATTATTTTCCATAATGTAATGATAAAAATGAGACTTTCATATATTTCAGATTCATTGCACACCAACTGAAATATTTCAGGTCTTTAATTGTTTTAATACTGATGATTATG